GGCTGGCTTTGAACTTGCAATCCTCCAGCCTCAGCTTCTGCTGGAATTACAGGCATGCACCACCATGCCCGTTGACATGAAACGTCTTTTGGTGTCACAGTCTAAACTAGGGGGTTTGTGGAGGGTTTGGGCCCAAACTGACAGAAAGCCTTCCTGCTGTGCAGTGAAGTTCTCTCATTAGACTCTGATTTTGTTATTTGAATAAACATCATGATCTGTTTTCCCTATAACCCATGGATTCACTCCTGGTGTAGGTAGAGGCTTCCTTATTCCCTATTCTCTATAGTCACATCTCAAGTAAACTATAGAGAATATTTCCTCCTCAGGAACCATAGAAGTTTTATAGCCTACTTTCTGTATGTGGAAATTTGGGAGCTGTATTAGTCAGGATTCTTCAGAGAATCAGAACCAATAGCATATATGGAGATAAATAGAAATAGATTTATTATGAAGGATAGGCTTACATGATTATTGGGGCTCACAAATCCCACAGTATGCCACTGATAAGCTGAAGGCCTAGGGATGTCAGTGGTATAGTTCCATTCCCAGCCCAAAGGCCTGAGAATGAGGTGAGCCAATTATGTAAGTCCTGATCTGAGAACAGAGACCCAAGAACTAGGAGCACTCATGTACCAGGGCAGGAGAAGAAAGGTATTCCAGTTCAAGAACAGAAAGCAAATTTGCCTTTCTGCCTTTTTCATTGTATTCAGGCCCTCAGTAGACTGGTTGGTGCTTACCCACTTTGATCAGGGACACCTGGTGTACTCAGTCACCAATTTAAATACTAATGTTGTCTAGAAACACTCTTGCACCCAGAAATAATGTTTTACCAGCTTCTGGGCAACACCCAAACCAGTCAAGTTGACACATAAAATAAACAATCACAGGACTAGGGGTGTAACTTAGCAATAAAACATTTACCCACTATGCACAAGGCTCTGTGTTTCTCCAGTACTTTGAAAATTAGCCATCACAAAGCATTGTGCTTGTTTTACATCTGAGCTATCAAAGACATTCTCAGTACTAACTTGTGCTTTTTTGCAATACAGTGCTTCAAAAACTTATAGGATGGGCTGCAGTTGTGGCTCAGTGGTAAAGTGCTGCAGTCTGGCTGGGCACAAATCACGAGCCACTCAAGCAGGAACAAACTTTATTTCCGAACTCCCCCCAAACGCCACCCTCTCAGGGACACCACACACAAACCGGAACTCCCTCCACCGGAACCTCGCCAACCAACTTGAACTTTTCATGAATCCCCTTGAGAACTCCAAAGTAGCCGGTGCCCAAGGCAGCAGGAGCCGCCCTATTGCCGGAGCCAGCCGCCCTATTGCCGGACAGTAGGGGTCTATATACAATTGAATACACAGCCTGTTTCAATCCAGCATTATCCACTCACAACAATTATACACAGCTTAATTATCATCATCTTAATGGCTTGCTGGCGTCACCTCTCAACCATTACTTCTGGCAAAATGCCAGGGGCCATTCCGACTGGTTGTGGCTCTCAACAGTAAAGTGCTTGCCTAAAATGTGTGAAGCCCTGGGTTCCATCCTCAGCACCGCATAAAAATCAATAACATAAAGGAATTGTGTCCATCTACAACTAAAACAAAACAAACCTTAAAAAATTATAGGAGGGCCTGGGGATGTGGCTCAAGTGGTAGCAAGCTCGCTTGGCATGCGTGAGGCACTGGGTTCGATCCTCAGCACCACATAAAAATAAATAAGTGAAATAAAGTTATTGTGTTCAACTACAGCTAAAAAATATGTTTTAAAAAAATTATAGGAAACTTTCAGAAGGTATAGACATGTTCCTTAATTTGATGGTGGTGGTGGTTCCATGAGTGTATATGTTAGACCAGGATGAAAGAAAAAACCACTGACTCCAATTAAAATCAAATTAAAGCAAGCTTATCATTTCGACCGGCCGGGCTGCCTGTCCCTCCCAAAACAGCGGGAACAAGACAGCCCCCCACCTTTCCTACAGCCCAGCTTTATAGCCCAGAAAGTTACACAAAAGGGGTGTTACAGATAATAGAACTCTGACAAGCATCACACTAATGGTAGTTTACATTTTTTTTTTTTTGCTGGCCCCAACATCAGAATTTATGAGGACCATTAGAGCCTCAGAGAGGATGGCCAGGGAAGGCCAATATTTATGAGGTGTCACTAAGTTTCAGAGAGGGCTGCTATCTGGTCAGAGAGCCAGGCATGGGTGAACCGTTCAAGACACGGGCAGGCATTCCAAGCAGGTTCAGAATTTGCAGTAATTGATAGTAAAGCCGAAATTATCTTTTCATGGCTTTGTGGCAAGATGGCTCCCAATTTTAATAAAAGATCAGGTTGGGTCTATCATTTACATATTGAAACTCAAATGGTAATCATTAAATATGTGTGTTTTAAGTCAACTATACCTATATAAGATTGTTAAAACAAAAATGTTCTAGTTTCTGGGTTTTTTATTTTGAGTGGGCTCCATTTACTATTGATAACAATAACCAGAGTTCTTTCCTATGACTAGTTCTTAAATCTGCCTTTGTAAGAGTAAAAGAAATTGAAGTTAAAGTGTAAACGACTGGGCATTGTAAAGTTTCCAAGCTGCAAGGCCTGAGTTAAAAAGTGAAGGACCAGGTATTGTTAAATTCCTCTGTTAGGACAATACCCGAACTGCCCGGTAAATATCCCTCCTAATCCTCTGGCTGTTTAATAATTTAGGGCCCTGTGTAGCCTGGCACGTAGGCCCCAAAACCAATCAGTTTGAATGTGTACCCCGCTTAGAAGTGACCAATCACCCCTGCCCAGCCTGTTCCCGCCAATGAATGTACTAATCAAGTCTAAGAATTATTGTTTGATTTTCCCGTGGTGTATGGTGATTTGTTAAAGGAGACTATGATGTGTATGAAGTCCCCGCCCTCCCCCAAAAAAGTGTACTTAAGCACTGCTCAACCCTTGCCCCGGGCTCTGGGCCTCTCTATCTTCCTGAGTGAGCCTAGAGCCTCAGTGCGCTGAATCAGGATCCTCAATAAAAATCCCCTTATGCTTATTGCATGAAGCCGGTCTCTTGTGGTCTCTTCCTCCAACATTTTGCCGGTCCCTTACACCTTATTTCTTTGCTTCCCCACTTGTATGCTCTTCTCTGTTAAGAGAAGACACATTTGTCACAGGTTGAAAGCCTTTTTGGTCAAAGGCTTTCTTGATTTTATTCCCTACTATTTGGGGTCTTAAAGCAATTGAATTTCCAATACTTCAAGGTCCAAAGTTTCAGAACATGTGATTGCCTTTCACTTTTGCTAGGAGGAAAAAGGCCAATTCCCTCCTAAGCTCATTTTTATGTCTGTAATGCAGCCAAGAGTTGCTGATACATGCTGGCCATTTGATTCTTTCCAACCCATTCCTCTAGAGCTCTAGGCTCAAGAGCATATGGTGTGCATTTTGTGTTATTTCAGGTGCCAGCTTATAAAATATTTTGTCATTGTATAACATGATATTCTACACAGAGTCTATGGTCTTTCAGTTTAACATTTATTCTTTCACAATATCTTCCCCACTGGCCGGTAAGAATTTTTCTCAGAAACTTCCTGTCTGATTTCCTGATAGGTCCTGTTAGATGGCTGGAGATGCAGTGGTGATAACAGTGACTAAGGGACTCCTGGGCTCCTGTTCAGGCAGCTTAATTTAATAGTACCAGGAGCTTCAGCAGCACAACTATTTTGGACTTGGTTAACATCATTTCCCCTTTTGCTCCCTGTGTTTGTGGCTTCCTGTTTTTTTTTTTTTAAGAGAGAGTGAGAGACAGAGAAGGAGAGAGAAATTTTTAATATTTATTTTTTAGTTTTTCGCGGGCACAACATCTTTGTTTGTATGTGGTGCTGAGGATTAAACCCAGGAAGCACGTATGCCAGGAGAGTGTGCTACCGCTTGAGCCACATCCCCAGCCCCTGTGGCTTCCTGTTCTACTAATTTTTTTAAGTCATCTTAACGTCTGTTTTCACTGCTCCATCATTTGTGACCCTTTCTTAAATGATTATCTGTATTAAATTCCCTGTATTCAAAATACTTAGAAATGTTTCTATTTTCCTAACACAAATTTCATTTACTGACACAAATTGATTGACATCCTTTGAATCTCCAATATGCAATCTCCAATATTGCTAAGCTAATGCCAAATATTTTTATTGTTGTTTTTGTTTTTGTTATAGCAGTATTCCACTTGCTCTATCAATATCTATATTTGTTAGGGTTAGAAATGCCAATCACAGACCCCAAACTCAGTGAATTAACAAAAGTTATTTCATTATTCATTACAGAGTCTGGCATGTGTTGGAAGTGGAAGTGCTAGTGTGCTTTGCTCCATGCATTCATTCAGGGACTAGATTGACAGACATCCACCATCTTCAAATTATAGTGGCCAAAATGTCTGGGAGTTGTAATCCAGTCTGCAGGTAGGGGATGAAGAGAATGTGGAAGAAAGCACAGAGTATTTTAGAAGGCACGCCTGGAAGCAATGTCCATCACTACTGTTCATATCTTATTGGCCAGAACTTGATCATATGGCCTGAACAAGTGGCTAGAAATTTGTCTATGTGATCAGGAGACCATAGAACTAGTTTGATAAAACATTGCATCGTCTCTGCCATTAAACAAAACAAAAAAATAAAAAAAACAAAAATAAATTCTTTCTATTTATAGTTTGCATGGTATTATATTTTTATATTATATTTTTATCTTTTTAATCTTTTTGTATTCTAGAGTTTAGGTATTCTTCCTTGTAAGTAGCATATATATCATTGATTCAAAGATATGAATTTTTCATATTTTAATACATCTGAAATTAGATGTATCAATGAATTTTGATAAAGGCCATATGCCCATGTAACCCACAGAGACTCTGGCTGCTTCTAATATCTGCTAATATCCTTTGGTATTATTCAGTTTCACTGTCTTCTATCTATATAAAGATTCTTTTGTGTATGTGCTAGGGAATTGAACCCAGGGTCTTGTGCATGCTTACAAGCATTTTATCGCTGAGTTAAAATACCCCAGCCTTATATAGGCTTTAAAAATAC